TTACTATCAGACTTATAATTTAAGTCCAACCATTCCATAATATATGTATGTATACCTTATTAATAGTGGGTATTTTGGAGCCAGCAAGGTATTCTCAATTTACAGTTGATTAACTACATTTTGAAGCCCAATGTATGTTTCGGCTGTATTCATTTTTTTATTTCTTCAATTGTTTACCAGCTGTGGCAGCCATCTTTGTTTTTTAAATATAATTCTACGTCCTATCATTATTATTGCGCCAATTTTATAGTCACACTTTTTCAGCGTAAACGCTTGGAAACATCCATCCATTCCTGCTGCAGACAGTGATCAGTTGGTTACCCGCCCCCAGCAGAAGTTAGGCTTAGGCAAGGGAGGAAATTCATCCTATCCCAAAACCGTTCGTACAATATGACACAGTGTAATAAAAAAAAAAAAAAAAAAAATTATATAGAATAATAATAAGGTAAAAAAAACAAAAAAAAAATTAAGAGAAAGTACAAAAATAAATAGAAAAATAAATATTTCTAATATTCAAGAGGATTAAAAAATTAAAATACATATTTAAATTAATAGTAAATATTTTTCTATTAAATTAATATTTTTTAAGTAAAATTTCATTTATTATTATCTTATACACTACAATAAAAAAAAAAATAAAAGAATTATTTTTTATAGTAAAAATTATTTTTGTTTACATAATAATGGATGTATTTTTTTTTTCGGTATTTCTAATAAACAGTTTTATATTTCTTTTAAGTACTTTGTTTGTTTGTTTAGTAATCAGGTACGAATTAAATAACTTTGGTCGAAGTATGGCATTTCCATTTCAAGGGTACACGATTATTTCCTTCTATGCTGTAAGTTTACAATTTCGTTTTTTTTGCAAATGTTAAACAGTTAGGAAATACAACTAGGGGAAAAATGACTTCTGTTGGGTAATATGTCTATAATTATTATGAAAGCTTTGCATTGTCAAGTAATGTTACTTAATAATCCCCATCCTACCATGGTAAGTAATATGTAGCTAGTGAATAATTAAGTTTTATTCTTTAAATATTTGTTTTAAATATTTAAATTTAAAGAATTTAAGTTTATGTTTTTTTGATACCTTAAGTCTATCAACAATGCCAATTTTAATATGATTCGGCCTTTTATTAAATGTGTTATTTTTAATGAAAAGTTATTTTCTAAATTTAAGAATTAAAAATTAAAGTTTGAGGTCGTTCCACTTATTTTTAATTTTACCATAAAAGTGTGTAATTTTTTAGATGATAGTAAAATAACTGTTGATATTATAAGGGCAATCTTTGAATCGAAATTTCTTTATTTGGTTTTAGTAATTTAGTTCAACTTTCTAACCCCATTGTCAAGTAAAATTAGTTGAAGGCTTAGTTAAAAAAAAAGACTTTTGCTATAAATTATAACGCATACTTAATTTTTCTGGAAAGAACTATTAGAGTAGTTGGACTTAAGAAACTTATAATTCGGCTTTTCATTTTTTTAAAAAATTTGAGTTTATTAATGAGATAGGTCTGTAATTCTTACATTCAATATTCCTTTATAAATTGGTTTAATAACGGATTAAATAGTAGGATATACGGTCTTTTTATTAAAAAATAGCAGTTCCGCGATTCTTTCTTATTTTCCCTTCTGATGTTGTCCTGCAGTCTTTTTTTTTTAATTCGTATGACGTTTAAACGGAGTGGTGATTATTATAGCTACTTCATGGAGGTGTGTCTTATTTTCTTGCAAGGTTTTGCCAATATCAGAAAAGAAGTATTAAAATATTACGACTCCACAGAGTTTTCCAAAATATCCCCTAAATTACTTTTAATTTTGCTCTGTTTTTTTATGATTTTGGAATTTTTCACAACATCATATCTGGAAGATTGGCATTGTTGATATTTTTAAAATAAAAAATTTTTTTATAACTGTTTCAAGAATTGATTTAATACAATAAAATTATTTTTGAATGTACACAGAGATAAAGGAGTTCCAGGAAATTTTAGATATTTCAACTTTTTGTTTATATATGTTTTTGTTTTTTCTTCATACATGTATAGTTAGATGTTTACTAAAAAATTTGTATACGTCATGTAATGATAGTATTTGATATAATAAAGGTAAATGAAATTTTTGTAATGTATTACGAATATAAAAAGACTGGGCTTACCACGATAAGAAAGAAGAGTACTAGTAATTTTTATATCTTATACTAGTGGAGAAAATGTCTATATTAATATTAAATATATTGACCTTATTTTTCTAAAATCCGTAACCCTGATTAAATTAGGGACATACGGAGCTAATGGCAATATCATTTTTCAATATACTAATTAATTATGGAAACTTAGATTCATTGAGAATTTATGTACATTAAATAAAATTTAGACCGAATAGTGTATAGCATATAAAAGGTCTGGAATTTTAAATGTTTCAGTTAATACAATACACTCGAAATTTAATCAAACTGGTGCAAGAAGACATTAAATTATCAATATTTTTTGGCAGACTTCTAATGTTATTATGTATTATTTTAAAGTTACATACTTTATTATTTACTTTCAGCACTTCATTAGCTTCATATGCATTTTCAACTTTTTCTGTACAATGGGAATAGTAAAACCCTTAATTGATCCATTTTTTTTGTTTAACGTAATACCTGTATATTTTTTTATGCAATAATTTTTTTTGGCAACTGTATATACATATAACCTCATCACATGCTACACATGTACTCTATTTACACAGCTACAGACATATACATGAACATACAAGAGAGTATTTTTTTAATTTATTTTTTGGAACGCGTCACAATTTTAGTTGCGGTCTGGGTTGTAGATGAGTCACTTGATTGTTGTTTACTTCTTTCTGGCTATGTTCTTGCTGTGTTTCCGTTTCTCCTAATTGTCTTTTTGCCGTGTTGTTGTATTTGTTCTTCTCTTCGTTTCGTTTGATATTTCTTGCCTGCAGTTGCTCGAGGGTAAGGTATATTGGACACAATTAATTTACCCGACTTAATATAAGCTACTTCACCTTTGGCTCTGTATTCCTTGGTGTTTAAGAATATTTTGTTCCGTTTCTCCTCCAGCAGAGGTCTGCGGAAATATATATGCCTTGCCAACTGCTTTCTTAAATCGTTGGTACGAAGTGAGTCTACACAATTGGTTGTTCTTTATACTATGTTTACTATAGACGTCGTTAAATGCCGCTTTACTAATTGTCACTTATATTTTTCGGAGTCTATAATTTATTTCGGTTTTGTACCGAAAAATTAATTTCTTTCTAATTTTTCTTTCGAGGGAGTTTTTTGTTGACTATACACAGTTTTATTTTATCCTCGAAATTCTTTTAATACTTTCACTTTAGTATTAATTTTACTAAACTTTCATTCACTGCTATTTAATTAAATAGATCTTTCATGAAAGCCTTTGTTGTTCACTAAATTGGCCCCACAAATTATTTGCAAAATAAAAAAAATAAGTTTAATTATATATCTACGTCATTTTTATTACTCAATATATCAATTAACGTGCAAAAATCAAAGGGTAATTTGAAAATGTATATTTTCTAGTAACACTGTTAATTGTACTCTTTCCTCTATGATTTACACACAGCTTGTTACTTTTAAAGCGTTCCACACAAATCTCTATGAAGAACTGAATAATACAATTGGATTCTGGCCATTTCTCATTATGTTATGAAGTAATTCCAATTCTGCGATGTTCTTGGCCAATGTGGTCGTCATCACTCCTTCTGCAGATATCATCAGGGCGTATGTCTCCACTTTCTCAAGTCTCCAAAGGCGCTTCAGCTGGATTGCTAGGTTGCATATTTCGCGATCTTCTCTCGTTCAGCATTCTGGATGTTGGATGGGTGTTGGATGTATCTATGATGATCAGAATAATATCCGGTTGGTTGAAGTCCACTGTTCGATCGGTTATAATTAATCCGGGGTATATTTGTAGTGTGGCGGAGCAGTCCCTATCAGGCCATGCTTGAATGTTAGTTACTGGTGGACCATCTTCGCAAGGTGATTGTGCCTAGCGAGATATGCTGACTCTGCTAGCGCAGAACACCCTCCTATTTCGACTGCAGATCCACATTTCCTATATATGTCTTCAATGTCGCCCCTCATGATATACTTCTGGTAATTTCTCGTTTTTATAACACTGTCTTGAATAGCTGTTAAGAAACCTTCGGTTTTGGGTTACAGATAGCGATCTGTAAACCATTTTACTGAATTGTCCTTGTTTTTTAGTCTGGCTGTAGCATTTTTCAAAAACGGCCCTGTAAAGTCAAATTGCGTCTGAAGCACCTGTTCTGTTGTTATGTCGACCGGAAGAAGTTCACAACCTAGACTCAAAAGCGTGTATCCAGAGTCCTCCCTTGCTATTGTTGTTATTAGTGGGTTCCTCCTCTTCTTAAGGAAGCTGATTGATTTAGGCATAGCTTTTATATGTTCAACAGACCTCTCTCAACTCGTCTTCGCGACAGGTAGAGTCTGATCACTATAGAGTTTGTAAGTGCATGAATTTAGTTAGGAGCCACCTGGTAATTCTGTCCAGCTCGTCGAGATCAGTAATGGACCCTGAACGATTCCGAAGGAGTATATCAAGACTGAGAGCCCAGAAGTTGATGGCTTTTATCAGATTGCCTCCAGATAAAAGTATATTCAGCAACTTTGTCACGCGGTTCTTATATTGGAAAGCCTACGTTACTAACAGTGGCTATTTTAAATAAAAACTGCAAAAACAGAGGAGTTTGATCGATTCCAATGTGTAAGTGTGCTAAATGCAGTATTAGGGATATTTGAGGTTAATACTTTGGCTAAACTTCCGACGAGGACCCACGAAGTAGCGGGTCAAATGGCACCTTTTTGGAAAGAGGAGGAGAAGAGCAGTCGATTGACGCCACGTTCAGGTTTAGGAGACCACTTTTAAAAAAGTTATGAGAGCAAAAAGTGCTGCATTGTAGTATCCAGTAGAGCTGCCAACACTCACTCATTAGGTGCTGCTGTGTTGGTATAGTGGTTAATGCATTCGGCATTCAATGCTGATGCGTGAGTTCGATACTCACAAGAGGCAATGTTCCGGTCAGTCACTTTTAATCACTCAACACACACACCTTCGGTCCTTCGAGATTGACTGGATATGGTATAAGCAGTTGGGTTCGGTCAGGTTAGGTTAGGTTAAGTTACGTCAAAATTCAAAGTCGTCTTCTAAACTTGAGAGTGGTGTCAATTGATAGCCCTTCACCTCCTCTTTCCAAAAAGGTACCACTCGACCTTCTAGCTCGCGGGTCTTCGGAAGTTTTACAAATACTTTTTTCAACGAAAAAATGGGTGTCCATTAATTGTGGAGCGGAGTGTAGTATGTTTACCTAACAATGAATATAACGTGACGTAACAGGAGAGGCAAAACATTCTTTCGAATGTACGTTTTCACTTCCCCTTCTCAAAAATGTAAACGATACGAGACTTGCGTGAGAGAATGACAATTTGGGTGAAACTCCAAATTACACGGCTCTAAAGCCGACCCTAAAAATAAACTGTTGTAGGAGTTTAGCGTGCCGTTCAGGTTGGGGCGGTTGTATAATCGGGCGATCTACTGCTGACACCTTTTTGGGGTTCTAGGCGAATGCTCTCCACTATGACCATAATTTATTTTCAGGATTATGTCCGTCCCTTCTAATTTGAGAATATTCACTCGTCCGCATTTACCCCAACGCGGGCAAAAATGAGTGTAATGGAAAAACTTTAAGACTTCTACAGTTCTAATATTTTTGTAACGATGTAAAGAGTATTTTTTTTCATGATACAGGGTTTCTGGTTAGTCTATTATTAAAAAAGGTGAATTTATAAATTGTACATATAGGGTGTTTCACGGTGAGTGGCCTATTAAACGTTTTATGAGAGCTATAGATAATAGGGAGCTGATTTGTATTTGGAGGGTTTTTAGGGGTGTTCTACACATTTAAAAAATGGCGACATTCTGGCGTTTCCGAATGTAATGGAAGAGAATACTAACTTCGTTATTTTAAATTGCGTGCAATATTTTTTATGCCATATTTGGTTTCTACTCATTAATTTAAAGTCACTTTAATACCACTGTCTATCTGGTAAACATTTATGATTCATTCGTATATTTCGTATATTTTTATACGATTTTTTATACTTTCTATGCGATTTACAAGTTGAGCAAAATATCGAATTTGAAGGCCGCTAGACGAGTGAAGTGTGCCAAGGGATAAGTCAAGACAGTTGAATGTTATCTTTTAAACTTAATTTTGACTAATCTGTTGTAGATAAAAAAATATTTTTTTGTATATTAAATTTTTTTGTATATGCATATTAATATACTGAAAAGAGAATTTTGGAATGTTCGCAATAATAGTTCCAAATTGACCGATTTACACAAAAAAAATCAAATAATTGGTTTATTAAAAAATACATTGAAATGACATTAAAGTGAAACTTGTAAAGGATTTGAACATACACCCTAGGAAATTGCACCTTTACATATTGGCGAAATATGTGTAGAAGAGAATAAGTTAAAAGACACCAGTAAGGACAGACAAAGACAGTTAGATGCCACATTGTTTCACGCTTGTGCACGTATTAGAAACATATGAGACCTGCGCGTAATATAAATTTGGAGTGGGGTATTACCTACACGTCTATCGCCGAATTTCAATGGAACTCAGTACTTTTTCGCAGCTATGTATGTCTACATCGACTTGCTGTATGAAATGAAATTCTTACGTAATTCTGACTTTTAGAATGATCCCATACACTTAAAACAAGTGTACGAAAATAATTGTATTTATTTTCAAATTTTTGTATTCCTTAACTAACCGGTCTACAAGAAAAAAAATTGAAGTTCTAAAAAATAAAAAAAATAAAAATATAAATCAACCCGGTTATAAGACGAAAGAAAGAAATGCCCATTGAATAAGTGGTTCAAAAATGTCGCCCCTTTGTGCTTCGCAAAAACATAATCTATCTTAAAACTCAGTTCTTACGCGTTCTAACTTAACTTAACTCTAAATATTATTTAGGACTTGTACAATTCTGGCCCGTAAATCATTTAAATTTCGTGGTCTTTCATGTTCATGTCCGTAAACAGTTTGTTTTATTTGTTAAATATTTGTTGGCATTTAAGGAACCATTTATAAAAAATGGCCCAACGATGGAATCGCCTAAAATGCCAACCCAAACATTTAACTTCTCGGGATACTGCGTAGTGCGTACGCACAGAAATACTCAAGTGCTTATTTTTCAATAACGATATAATAATTCAATTCACACGTGCGCATTATAATTTATGGTCGGGGCGTCCCGCCTACATATTTTATTGCTACCCTATCACGAAAGACAGAGAATAACGCTCATAAAAGTTTTAAAATGACATATCAGTCTGGCAACTATGGATATAATATTTCTCTGTCAGTTCCCTTTACTCGAAGAGTTTATTCTTTTCTATCTTTTAATGTTCGGCTTTGAAGTCTTGGACTTTCCAACCCTGTATATTGTAGCACGCAAGGAAAATATTGAACAGACGATTAAGTTTAAGTGATTCTAGATAACATTCCATTGTCTTGACATTATTCCATGGTATACTTCGTCTTGCGGCATTCAAAATCGATATTTTGCTCAACTTTGAGATTCTTTTCTCTTATCTTTCATATATATGCATTAATCTTTTATTCAAATTTCACATACGGGAGTTTTAAGGAGTCCATAGATTTAGATTTTAAACAAAAGAAATTGCTAAATGATCACATTGAATTTCGGGGGTATAAAAAATCGTAGCAGGCCATAGGGCTGCAGCTCAAAAGCGGATAGAGCCAGAAGAAGCAGTTTTAGATGGCCTTTAAAATAAAAAAAAGGCTAATCAAACACCTTGGAAAATGAGGATTATATGGAGTTGTACATAAATAAAGGTTTACCATATAAAGATACCATATATTTTAAAACATAGAATTAGTTTTTGTCAATCATGTTTAAACATAAAGTAAATATGTTTATACCGGGTGAGACAGGAACATGATATACCCCTCTCTATTTCTTTTTTATAATAATTAAGACAACATTTTAAAATTTCTCCAGGGTGTTATGATCATAACAGATCTCAACTTTTGGCATATAAACGACATTTTTAAAACTTTCAGTTTTACACTAATTGTAAGTATTACTAACATAAGATTTTCAAATGCTGGTAAATAAATAAGTTTTTAAACACTATATTTTGTAAATGTTTTCTAATTCAAGTGTGCCTGGACTATTTAATTCTACTCTAATAAATTTGAGGCGAGAATGATTTCTCCCTCATATCATTCACCATTTAAGTCATAGACATGTACATTTCGATCTTATTAGATCCCATCATTGTGACATATCTAATGGTGAATGACGAAGAACGAGCAATTTGACTTATATCCTGACCAGGAGAGATATACAGTGTTGTGACCAGGAAGGTATCGTCCTCTAGTGTCGTTAGATGAGATTATACGTATCCTCACAGGTCCGACAAAGTCAGCAACTTAAAGCACTAACTTTTTTGGAGAACACAGTTATCAGCAAGTAAAAAAAAGGTTTTTCATATGTCGCAAACTTTATGGATCAAGGTGTCAAATAAAATATGTAGCATATTGTAAGAAACTTACGGTTAACCCAGAGATAAGTTGATCTACAATCTTACGATGATTCCATCTTACCTGAAAATAAAAAAAAACTCTATTAATCATCATAAAAATTCAAACTGGATACATAAAATACATACTATTGACATGTAGTAAAATGGATGTCTATAGACTATTAAAAAAATCTCTAAATAACGCACAGAGTAGTACTAATGTACTACTATGTACTGTCTGTCAAGTCTTGGAGAGTCAAGCACAAACTAAACTCGTTGATATTTATTATATGTATAATACTTTCAATCGCGTCTACAATAACTTGACGAATTCAGAAATGTTTCGAGAGTTGTTATTAATAGTTGTGTTGTTAAATATAAGCTGGAAATAAATGTTATCTTTTGAAATACTAAAAATAAATACTTTACTGATTTTTACATCACTGATACTATTTATGTTTATTTTTATAATCATGTATATGTTTTTTTTACTTTCAGATTTTTATGCTGTATACAACTACTCTCCAGATAATTATTATTGATGGAAACATATCTTGACTGCTGATGGAGATAAAGAGGCATCCAAAAAAAAAAAAAAACAAAAAAAAGAGCAATGATTGTTCTTTTCTTTAGTCTTATTATAAAAGTATTATTATAAAAGATATCGTATTTTTAAATTAAATGAACATATAAAGTAAATTGCTTTTCATTCATTTTTTTGACCAACATTGCCAACAGTATACTTATATGGTTAGTAAGAAAATTGAGGAAAAAAATCACAGATCACCTCTAAGACATTAGTAACCATAATATTACACAGGAAGTAATAGTGAAGGTTATTAGACAATTTACGTATAGATTAGCTTACTGTCATTCTACTGCTCATACTTAAATTTGTTATGACACGTTAAGCTACTATTAATTACAGAATGTTAATAAATCTATTAATAACTAGATTTTATCTCAATTCTTTAGTCTTCATAAAAAAAAGGCATGGGAAAACTTGAAAATTACGATATGTATTTGTTCGTAGCTCCCAAAACATTAATTTTAGGTGGCAAGTATGTTAGGTCGTTAAAATTAGCTCGTCAAACTTTCAAATACTAAGTAGTAATTCATTAAAAAAATTGTCTTCAATTTTTGAAACACTATACTTCAAGCTAAGTTCGAATTATGGATTTTTAATTCTAATTTTCGCATTTATAATTACGTATCAATATCTCTATTAACTTCAGCCATTTACGTGATTCTATACTTTTGCTCATCACTGTATAATAATTAATGTTATTTTCAACATTTACTGATGTTGAGTAAGCAGGGCGTTCCATAAAACTGAGAATTATTAAATGGGTATTTGATGAACAACAATAGTCTGAAAATCGTAGGTGTACAGTACCCGCGCAGATAACAGCTCTCGGAAAATCGTCATGTCCCTCCTGGCGCTTTTCCCA